AATTAAAATGATCAGTGAATAATTGTAGTGTGCCAGTAATATCATAAGAAATCGAGTCATCCGGTGCATGATTATAGTATGGACCAAAATCAGTTAGGTGATTAATAATATTTTCAGACATGTTACCAAAAGAATATTTTAATCCTAGGTAGTGGTTCTGATAAAAGGTAAAAGCATTATCTACTGTTGCAGCTAAAGATAAAGCAGCAGGTTTTTGTCCCTGAAATGGCCATCGAGCCCCATCATTTTCAAAATTAAAGAAAGTTGTAGGATCATACATTTTATCAGAATAAAAGCGGAGACAATTATAACTATTTTTAACATCTTTGCCAGTTATTGCGGTGTTGTTGTCTATGTTGTAATTATTTTTACAATAATCCATAGCTAGGTTAAAAGAAAAAGGATAATCTGGGTTAGGAGTATCTCCAACACTCAAAACTTTGGCTTCCAGATCAACTCGCCACGTGGTTGGGTTGTCCACACAGGTATATAGAAGCTGTTTACTAGCAACTGGCGTAACTTTCCTTGTAGAATTATCTACTTTTAGGTCAAATGACCAACCACAATTATTTTGACACCCGTACATAGTGACATTAAGTACAAATCCATTTGAGGTATGATTATAGGATTCTATTCTCTTGACCTTTGTGGAATTGGTATAAAAGTGAGCGTCGTGCTCGTTGATGTGGATTGCATCATCAGTAAAAGTGAGTTCGCATACTCCATAGGATAAACCTACGGTAATCCAAGCATGAACCGATGAAATAATGGTTAAAATCAGAAAGGACAATGTTATGAATGTTTTACTCTGCATTTTTTAACAAATGGATTTGAATATAAAAAAATTTCTGCTCAAAAAAAATAAACGTTTATATATATGTTTCGAGATCGGCACAAAACATATTTGAATAATTTGATTTTCTTAAATGTTGATTTCTTTTTTCTGGTGTCATTCTATTTTATTTTAGAAATTAATTTAATAATCTCTTTTGACTCCCATACCGCAATCGAAATCGTCTTGACCGTATTAATTTTAAGTTTTTTTTTTTTTTCTTTATTAAAATTAGTACGTCCTAACATTTTACGAAAATTCTAATTCGGATGATCCGTAGTAATAATTTAAGTGTGAGTAATTACAAATTTAAATTTAAATTCAGAACAGACTTTATTAGAATTAGCCTGATTCAAATCAATAAATTTGATCTAATCCAATGTATCTTAAACGAAAGATAATGTCGTACAATAATTTCTGAATCATCCGAATTGAGAATCATCCGAATCAAATATTTGTGACCGTAACAAGAAGGAATTTACAAATTGATCGCTCAATATTGCTAATTATCGTGCTCACCTGTATGATGTAGACGATCTTGTTTTTTAATATTTTTTGTGATATCATGAAGTTTATATGAAAATTAGCTATACAACAACGATAATTTATATTAAGCAAATAAATAATACTTAATATTATACATATTAATTCAAGTAACTTGTTTCTATTTTTAATATAATAAATAATATAAGCGATAAGTAGTAATTATGAAATATTTTACTAACTGTTAAAGTTTTCAAAGATCCATCGCTCACTTTTAGTTTAGATTTTAAATTTTTGGTCATTGAATTATAATATTTTAGGAGCTAAAGATAAAGGGGGCTAATTAATAAACATCTCAAACAAATTTTTCTAGCAAGTATTTAGATAATTTATTCTGTTTCATTTTCGCGATAACAATTCAATTATGTAGAATCTAATTACAACTTGTGCAAATTTATTTTATTTTATTTTATTTAATTTCGGATTTTTTTTAATTTAAGTTTTAAATTTTTATTTTATTTTTAATTAAAGATTTATAGCTATAATTTTAAAATAAGTTTTTTTTTTAATTCTCATTTAGTATCTAAGTGGTTGACAAAAGGGATATATTTAATTGTTGCAGTATTAATGGTTGTACTTTCATCATATATTTTTCAAAAAATTAAGAATAATAAAAATAATCAAAATAATCAAATTGAGGAGGCATTAAATCTTGCTTTATTATTGAATAAAGCAATTGAAATATTAATAAGTTTGTTAAGATTTCTTTCCAGTAAGATTTGCATAAATATTATTCGTCTAAAATAGGATTTTTAAATTATATTATTATTCCTATAACACGAAAAGGCAAACTAATTTACCTTTTTTTCGTGATTCATAAAAGTGGGCCTTACATTTTTTAATATACGATAAATTTTATGCTGGGCATCTAGTAGGATCGCATCTTATCGACAAGAAATGATGAACTTTCTCTTCATAATTTTAAGTCGACATCATAAAATCACACGATAATATCGTTATTGTGCTTGCGTTGATAAATAGTCAAAATTATTGTCCAATTCATATTGATGATCGGTCAGATTTAATTGATCGTCATTATGAATTGGACAATAATTTTGATATTAATCGTTGCAAAGCACAATAACTTATAATTACTGTCGCTCATTTTGGAACCTTTCCAATAGAAAGTGGGAAACTGCTGGAAAAAAAGCAATTTTACTTTTATATGCCAAATATGATTGATTTTCGGGCCGAGATTTAACATTTTCTTTCTTTTTTTTTTTTTTTCCAGCAGTTTTATTGCAAAGGTCTCAAAAAAAAAAATTTATTTTTTCTATATTTTTAAAAAACAACTGTCAGACGATAGCGAGTTCTATATCACTTAATCCTGATAACGAAGCAAATCGAGCCATATAATAGAATTAGCAACAAGCAACTTCATATATTCATTGTTGTTATGTCTCGTTTAATCTCAAAGCATATTTCTTCTTCTCACTGAAATAAGGGATATGGTTATTGTAGTATTTAAAGTTAACCTAAATACGTTCAATGCACAGTCATTTGATATTTCTCTAATCATGGTGATAAAAAGATCAACTATGATGATGTCCGCTCCGCTTGAATTTGAACATCTATATAACCAGAAAAATTAATTAGCATTATGATGATGTTCAAATCGAAGTGTAATTGACATACCTTTCATTTCATTAAATAGTAAGTTGGATCAGATTTATTATTTTTTCTCTTGCACAAGGCGGAAATAGGATTTAACTAGGGCCTCACCTTTTGATATAATTTGCAATATCGATTTTGATTAATCTTTGGGAGAAATATGATCGAATCACAAAAATCTGATCATAGACGCTTCTTAATCTATAATAATAAAAAAATACATGTAGATCATTAACGTTTAACGTTTAGAATACTTGTATAAATAAAATTTTAAATTGTGTGACACTTAATTTGTGTTACGAAATTCAGAGAAGAAAATTTTCTATTTTAGCGTAGTGGTGATCAGGTCACTAAACATTTTTGGCTACAAGAAAAGTATATCCGATTTTACTATGGTTCATCTTTTAGCCGAGAAGGTAACTTAAGAACTCAAGGGAAAGAATTTAGATATAAGTGAGAAAAATAAAAAAAAGTATGGAAAAGTTTAATAATATAATTATATTTTTTCATATTACATGAATTTATAGCGAAAATAGAAATTTAATTAATTTATTTGGTATAACATTTCACATTGTCAACGTAAATATTTCAAGAAGGATGCTTGACTAAAAGTAATTAATGTCCGTATATATTATCGTGAAAGTTATGAAAAGGTCTTTTAAGAATTAACCTTTAATTAAATTAATAATACATAAATCATTTGGAAATTCATGTAGCCTAAATTTCTTACAACGAACGCAATTATGAAACGCTTAAAAATAAATGTAAAGTGAATTCAATTTCAGTTTCAGTTCTGATCTTTTCTGCGGTGAAAATATTTTATTGTATAAATTTTTTGAATATAGGCGTGAAAATGTTTGAAGAAAAAGAGAAATCTAGACAAAAATAAGAAAAAAAAAATAAAAAAATAAAATTACGTATTCTTAGTTGAATGATTAATTATGCTATGAATTATTTATGCTAAAATTTATAATAATAGATAAGAATGAGAACGATAATATGAATATCAAAAAATTTCTATTCAAAGGTGAATTAGGAAGAGCACACATAAATCTTTATAAGCTTTACACGAAAGAAATCATTAAAAAGAGACGAACTGCTGTAACTTGTTTAAATGACTAGTGTTAGATATAAATGAATTAGATTACATTTCTCTTTCGTTTCAATATTTATCAAAATCAAAATCAAAAATCAAAATAATAATACAGAATCAAATTCAATATCTATCTGCACCCCAGAATATCAGTATCTGAATTTGCAACACTAACTACCATTCTGGTCGGAATAAGATAAGGATAATCAGATTGTTTTTGAAGTACAACTTCCACCGTTTGATTAAAGTTTTTACCAGCTTTAACTGGACATTCACTTCCAGTGCAAGCAGCTAATATAGTGGGGGGGAATGCGAGTTGTTGAGTTACTTCATCAACGAATGCAACCACAGTAAAGGTTTTTTTGGTAACATCTTCCGTAAATTTTCCGGAAATAGTAATATCAAGAGTAGGATTTCTTTTTTCTTCTTGGGGTTGTGGATTAAATACAACATCGAGTAAGACTGGTGGTGTCTTTGAACCTTGTGATGCGTTACATTGTAAAAAACTCGAGGGTAATTTATGACTTTTATGTGGATTTGCATTGACCATGGAGAGCGTGACCAATAAGAGGAATGCTAATATAAATTTTCGGTTCATGATTATGATTTCTTTGAGAAGTTGAGTTTGTTGAGTTTTATTTTTTTTTTGGTGAATGTTAGTAAATAAGCTTGGATTCTTAAATTCTGAGTAAAAATCATTGCCCTTTTATAAGGAAAAAAAGTAAGAAAAAATCGTATTCCCATCAGTACTTTTTCATGATTGTAACCAAAATTTGATAATATGCCATTTTGTTTCTCTTTGAAATGATTTCACGGTAAGAAAGTTTTAACATGAAATTTTGATGAATTAAAAAATCTTCCATAGTAAATTTATAAGAAAGAGAATTTTTATTGTTGACGATCGTTTCGAAGATTTGAAAATCAAGGTCCGAGACGATCAAAAATTACCTTTGTTTTAGGATTATTTTATAATTAATAATGAATATTATTTCTTAAATTAGAATAAAGATAATTAATTGTAACCCAAACCAGAAATTAAAAAAAAATTGACGCAAGAAGAAAATCATAACTCTTTATGATCGACGCCTCCCTTATTCACAAAAAGAATTAGAATAAAAGTTCGATTTATGTTTCATAAAAAATCATAGTTTTCTTTATTTATTTAATTTAATCTTTTGTAGAATTGATTTTAAAAGATAAATCCTGAAGTTAGCTTCTTTTTTTTTTATCGAATTCCCTGGTGTTCGATTACTATTACTAATGGGGACGAAGTTTTTCGCAGCCGTACTCTAGTTAAAATAAATAGAATATTTAACTCGGGCCAAATCCATAACTATTTTTAGTTTCATAATAATTATTATTATCATAATTTAAAATCATACAAATTAAAAGTAAGTTTCGAAATCAAAAAAAAAGTGAATAATCGTAAGTTCGTTTCGATCGTTAAACGTTGAACTCATTTCTTATTATAATGGAAATCGAAGGTAGAATTTGATCGAGAGAAAGCTTGTTGAATTTTATGTAAAGTTTGTATTTTCGGTATCTCGATGGCGTAATTCTATACTGCGCCACTTTCGCTCCTTGATTGCTTTCAATTACGATTTGAACGCTGTTTACTTAAAGATTTAACATCCTCAGATAGATTATTACCAAATGTTTTTAAAAAGCCCATAAGTGGAAATTTAATATTCTTAATGCTAATAATGGTCATGGTCATGATCGGTCATAACAGGTCATAACCGTGACCGACCGGTTGACCCACTGACCTGAGACTGAACAACCATGTTTTAAATGTAAAAATGCTTTGTATTAAAATCATCAATTTATATTAATTATCTATGAATTAAAATTTTGAAATTGTAAAAAAAAAAAAATTAAAGTCCCGCGATAATGCTGCGCCACTAAATAAAAATGACAAAGTAGTTTTAAAAATGCCATGCTAGAATTGTTAAAGCAAAAATCAAAATTATTGTCTAAATTAACTTTTTATTAAGCATAAAACTGCTCAATTATTTTACTATTAACCGGTAGGTTAACCGTTCAGTTAAAATCGGTCAGTTAAACCTGTCGGTCGGTCAAAGTTTGACCGACCGTTGACCGACCACGACCGACCGTTACCATCCCATCATACACGAACGAGAAAAACGTTTTGGAAAAGTCTTTATTAGTTTTGTAATATTTTGAGTGATCATATTTTGTTAAAGTTCGAGGAAAAGTTTATCTTTGAGAATGTTTATTAGGAATGCTGTCTTGATATTGATTTTCTATTAACTTGGTTTTTTTTTCATAGATTTCTGAGCTAGTTATTGAAAGCGAAAAACTAAAAAAAAAAAAAAAAAAAAAAAAAAAAAAAAAATTATTCCAATATGAATGAGGAATAAAGATAAAAAAGGCGCAAATTCCAAAAGTTCAAATTGGTTCATAATATTTAAAATTTCCTTACATAACGAGGATTTTTAATTAATTTTTGTATCTTATTTATCTTTATCCTAGATTATATGGAATTAGGAGAATATAACAATTTATAAAATTAACTTCATCGGGAAATATCTTTCTTTTTATGTCTACATTCATAGAATTGTTTCATCTAATCTTATAAATTTTCGGTTTAATTTATTAATTACGAGAAATTTTAACATTTTCGAGTCGAGTAGCATAGATTACTATATGGGAGGTCAGTAGAAAAGGGGGAAATCCACTTTTTAGTCAAAAATTTTTTTATTGGTTCACTCTGTTGATCATGGTCATGTGAACATAACATGAGTATAGTATATTTTATTTCTTAAAACAAGTATTGCTTATCTAGTAATTGCATTTATTGATTGCAATTGTGTGAATATTATTTAGATAAATATATTACAAAAGATTTTGCTAACTTCATTTTTGAATTGTACAACTTGGAATCTGCAAAAAATGATCAAAAAAATAATGTTACTTGAAACAGATATAACAAACAGTTGGGTACGACACAGTAAAGAAATTAGAATTCTTGTTCGACATATTGGCTTGCTCAATTATTTATACAACTAGTATCACTTTCTATAAAAATTATTTTGTATTTCTTGTATAATCCGCAAATACAAAATGAAATATGAGTTTTGTTACATAAAAAGATACAATGCGGATCAAAAAAAAAATATAGGATGGGGCGTAATTCAGATTTATCATCGCCATTGAACATAATATAAATGATAATGAACGAAAAAAAGAAGTCTATAGTAAAAAATTTCATTTGTTGTTAAAAGAAATTGCTTAAAAATAAAAAAAAAGGGAGAAAAATAAATAAAAAAAATCAAATATTCGATAAACAATATTGATTAAATGCCCAATATTATATATTATCTTGATAGTTATGAAAAGGTTTATGAATAATCTTTAATTAAATTAATAATACATATTCATCGGAAACTCGTGTAGCCTGAATTTCATAATACGTATGCAATTACCTATTATATAATTGTCAATTACTTTCGAATAACGTTATGAGTAAAGACCTCAGGATTCGACGATGTGCATGAAACTTTTTATAAATATTTTATGAAATAAACAATTTAGTATTAAATTTCTGTTCTTTTCTTGCGATAGAAAGTATTTCTGGTTGTATAAATCATTTTGGGTAAAATTTTTTGAATATAGGCGCGAAAGTTTTTAAATTTGTCTTGAATATACCATATTAGATAGATAAAGGAAGAAAGATATAATAATGGTATAAATGCTGTAATAGAATCCGAAATTTTGAGGATAAAGAAATAATAATTTAATTGCAAATGCGGAATTTTCAATTGTGTTACATAGGGTTAAAGCGAGATTAATAAAGTATCTAATTGACATCATTAAGTAGTAGTTTATCAGCGGATATTTTTTTTTTGATAAAATCATCAATACGTGAAAATAATATTTTTTTTGCATTAATAATAGACAACATTTATTGCGAGCCATATAATTATAAAACCGAATATAAGAATAATAATTGTAAAGATTCTTTGAATTTTATTTATATAATCAGTGACCAATACTATATAAAGAATTAAAATAAACGTAATTCTATAACTTTATTTTCTAGAAATTATTAAATATTAGAAACTATTGATTAAATATTACTATTAAAATGAGTTATTAATGAAAAAAATAGATTATATTAAACTTCGGCATATGCACAGCCTATAACATCAATATTTGAATTACCCATAGCAATCATCATAAAGGTCAATTTAGGTATACTATCTGGTGCTTGAATTTCCACCGTTTTGGTATACTGGTCACCAGCTTTAATTGAACATCCACTTCCAGTACAAGCAGGAAATTTAGCTGGATCTGCTAAGGGATTTCGATCCATATCAACAAATGCAATCGCAATTTCGGTACTTTCGGTGATATCTTCCGCAAATTTTCCGGAAATCGTAACTTTATCCTTTTGTCCAGCGACAGGAACTTCGGGTGAAAGTGTTACTTGAAGTAAGGGTGGTTGGGTTATTGAACCATCTGGTGGGGGACATTGTATAAAGCCGATGGCTCTTCTAAGAAGGTTATGTGGAAGTGCATTGACCATGGAGAGCATGACCAATAAGAGGAATGCTAAAATAAATTTTCGGTTCATGATGATGATTTCTTTGAGAAGTTTCTTTTTTTTTTTGGTGGATGTTAGTTGTCAAATAAGTTGCATTCTTAAATTCAGAGTAGATAGAAACCAGTTCCTTTTTATAAAGAAAAAAAAATTGTATTCCTTTTAAATTGTAATTTTACAAATCAGTAGATCTAGTTTACAAGTATATACTGTTCCCATTCTTAGTATGAAAACTATTCTTATGTGATTTTCTGTATCAAATTCTATTTGTTTCACAAACTTTTTTTTTTTGTTATAAATCATAAATAAAGTTTAGTACATAAATTTCGATATTGAGCATCATTCTTAATTTAGTAACTTACTAACTTAACGACATCCGTATTGTTTTAAAATAGCAAAAGTAAAATGAATATTATTAATGAAATTGAATTAATTGTAAAGCAGAGGTATTGGAGTAGAAAGGAAGGGTAGACGGTTAGCGAAAAAAGATGAGTGAAGGGTTTTTTAAGCAATAATGTATCACAACTTAATGAATCATACAAATTTAATCAGATTTATACTATCGCAAAAAAAAAGAAGCGACTTAAATGTATTGATCAGCATGCATCCTTTTTTTTTTGTTTTTAAAAAAAAAAAAAAAAAAAAATATGATCGATATTAAGAAAAAATGATTTTATAAATAAAATTTCAATATAAGAATGCAGAAAAAAATCTCGTAACTTCGTTAAGTATATCGATGAAGAAAACTATATTTTTCATGACTCATATTTCCTAAAATTTTCTCATCATATGACCGGAAGAAGTAATTTATTGACTTTGGTATTTCTTCGATAATCTATAACGATAATACTTATCTTCGTCACACTAACTAATTTTATTGTTGACATTCAAAGATTATAATCATTTTTGATTTTGACAAATACATTTAAACTGCTGTAAATTCCCGTTTAAATGTGAAAATCCTTATTCATATGACGTAAGAAATGCGGCAAGGTAATTTAATCCGAGCAAGTCAAAAAATTGTGGAGTCATGTCATATTTTAAATCCTTAAATAGTAGCAATTACTTTATATTGGCGTGAAATTATTAAAAGTTTTTAATAATCTTTATATTACATTTTTTTTGAATTTTCTTTTTTCAAAATGTTTTCATTGAATGCACTCAATATAATAACAATACTTACTATTTTTTAAAAAAAACAATGAAAAAAACATAAACTCCTCCGATTTTATTTAAAACTGCGCCATTAAACTAAATGAGTTTGAACATGAACTTTAGTAGGTTTACGAATAGCTGGAAGAACTCATGAAGTTATTGCCCGTATTTTAAAAATTCCAAAAAGTATACAATCGCTTGACATGATAATTTAATAGTGGATTGAATGCCAAAAGAACTGAAAGACCACTTTCTAATGAATAATGACACTGAACACATCAATAAATTATAAAAAGTATGCCAGAAATGAATTGAAGCATCCAGAGAATATTAATTCCATTTACGTCATTATTAAATAAATAAATTTTTGTTTCAGCTGATCGGATACATTTCCGAAGGTAGTGTATACTGCACATGATCAAAATTTCTATAGCATTTGTATCAAACAACTATTAAAAGAATACATTAGATTATTTGTATTCCTAGTATAACTGTAATTAATAGCTTAATCTTAAAAGAACAAGTATAAATCTTTTAAAAAATTGTCCAAGTCTTTTTAATTATTTTATTTATGTGTATATAGAAGCTGCGGATCTGTTTTACTCATTTTCATACGCCTTTCAACTATTAAATAAATAAAAATTGTTTTATCGCTCAAAAAAATACTACATACTAAGAATTTATTCTTAGGTTTGTTTAGTCATATATATCTAAATGATTGCACGATAAATGCATTAAGCTTTTTTAAACTTTAATTTTTTTTTTTATGGCACGACAATATATATAAAAGCTTGCAATGCAAACATCAACAAGCCATTGCTAATAAACGACCAATATTAATAAAATTTTTTAATTTTTGTGGAGTTCAATCGATTTTTGTGTAACCACATTGAAAATAGATTCATAATTTATTTAAAAAAAAATTTCTAATGATTAATTGATAATTATAATAAATCTTGTAACATATGAATATAATGAATCTTATTACACACTTATAGAACTTTTAGAATATTTTTTTTTGTTTATTAAATTCATTCAAATATTTATGATCTATTAATTATAACCTTTCAAAATGAATTCTGCTCTTAACTTACAATTTCATTTTAATATTTTGTTGGAAATTAATTATGTGTAATAAACGGTATATTCAATTATTCAAATCGGTTGAAATTATATATACTTTAAGAGATACAATATATATATTAAATAATTATGACGTAAGTCGTGTATAAATAAATTGATACTAATCTGCATCAGCATTTTCTTATACTGAGATCGTTAGGATCTTTTAAAAAGTTATAATCGGGATAGGTTTCAACTTGAGTAATGCTAGTTGAACCGTTACCAAAAAGAGGACACATAGCACCGACAGTAGAATCCTCAATAGTAAGTAATCTACTTGATAAATTTTGCGCATGGATCATATCCACAACGTCTTTTGTTTGGGTATTATTGGCATGACCCAAATCTGCCGCAAAAATTTCACCCATCACATGCAAAGGTATAACCTGCCCGTTTCCTTGGTCATTTTCAACTATATTTATCTAATTTGATTATTAAAGAATTTTGATTATACAAAATTCTAGCTTCCTTAGAAAGATTTTTGTAAATCCTTTACGTCTTGTGGTTCCTTATACCAAGTATTTTTTGCAATTCTTGATAATTGACTCATTGGAGGTAATTTGATGTTTTTATTACGATATATATTTTTTGTAATGCCATTCTGTACGCGATAAAAGAGTTTGCGTGATTTTGTTTTACCGCTTTCAAGTGCGTTTGATCTTATAATATTTTTGATGAGATCGTTTATCGTTAAAACTTGAGGGAATGTCAGTTTGATATCAGTGTGAACTTATTAGAAATCGTTTTCTCTAATAGTAGTCTCACTATTCGACCATAATTGTCTACATATTAAATTTTTTTTTTGTCAATTTTTTTAAAAAAGGAATAAAGTATATTTATATATTTTTTTTTTAAATAAAAACAAAAATTTTAAGGCATTTTATACAAATTAAGGAATGATCGTGAAAAAAATGGATCGTGTTGTGAGAAAATATGCTTACTCTTTACGAATGGAGGCGGAGACCATTACACATAGGAAGAAGTTCATGTGATTGGCTAATTTAACGACCCTAAACAATCAATAATTGACCAATTAAATTTAAATATCAATTAAACCAATTAAAATGAAACATAAATTTAAATAGAATTTAAATAAAATAAAATCATAATTTTTATTATTATATACCGTTTATATTATTTCAAAAATTTATTAAAATTGTATTTATATCATATTTAATAAATATATTTAAATAATTATTTTAATTATTAGCTAATTATTGTTGAATAAATCGTAGTATCAGGAAGTTGAAATACCATCAACTGATTCTTTATCATCATGATCTTCTTCAAGAATAAAGTCGTCCCTGACAAATTGCATACTTTGTTGAGGATAACTGATGTCTTAATGAGTTGTTTGTTTGGAGATTTAATGGTAGATTTGAATAATTTAAAAAATTTACCAAAAATTTAATTGAGGAAAAAATGCAGAGGATGGTTTAACACATTTTCAGTTTTTTGAATTAAATCCAAAGGGAAATCCTAGGATTGGACATCATTAACTGGACCTGACAAATTGATGATGTTACAATATTTTAATGTAACTGAGTTTATTGTGGGTGATCATGGAAGGAAAATATCATGTTTATAGAGAGAGTTTTTAGATTTATATCAATTTTTACGTAAGGATTCATTACTGATTCTGATATTAATTCTTTTGAAATTAACGTAAAAATTGGATCAAATTATATTGTGAACCTACTATTGGCAAAGCTAATTCCATTAATCAAAGAAAAGGTATGTTTAATCCGACCGATATAACTTCCTATATGCATGTTTTTGTATTTCATATTCCAGAAAATTCTAAGAAAATTGCAAAATAAAGGATTAAATTTGAAACAGTTTTCCACGTCAAGTATTGAAAAGAAAAATCATCTGCATGTGAGATTACAATTTCCTTTTGAAAATAGATAGACAATTATATTACTTAATGAATGATACACCCAAATGTATTAAACAAAGAATCATCCATTCGAATCTTTAATCTATTGTAATTATATTATATTGCTTCGAAATAATAAGTTCAGCTTAAAAAGATGATGGTTAATATTGATAATTAATAATTTTTAATTTTTAAGGTTAATTAACATGTAAATATAAAGAACAAAGAAGATCGAAATAGTGATATTGATTATTATTTATTTAATAAGACGATCTTTTAAGTTTTTTTTTTTTTTTTTTAAAGAAATTGAAACAAATTTCACAAGAAATAAATGTTTATAAGAAAGATATCTTACTTCGGCTCAAAAAACTGACTAGCAATAACTGCTTTCATCTTATTACAATCGTTAAAATGAAATACTTTAGTAATTTTTGTATATAGTGATGAAAAAACTGTCATTCGAAGAAATGAACGTTAAAAACTCTTAATATCAACTGAACGTAAAGATGTGCCGACTGGGGACTCAAATTTATTTGTACTAAACGAAAAATGGAAAGGTTGAACGATCATTTTATTTGTGTAATTAATAATCAAAAAGGATAAGATCATTAATAAATTAAAGCTACTGTTCGCTTTATTTTATTTTGTCCAAGAATTAAAGACCAAATTTGCATCTGATAAAATATGTTCCATTTGATTAAATATATTCTTTTTAATCATTCCAATTGAACTAATTACTAAAAGTACAAAAGAAAATACACGTATAACATGATTATAGTCATTGCAATTGTGTGAATTTATTTTAGATAAATTTATTACAAAAGGTGTGGATGAACTTGAGTTTCGATGTTGAGTCTGCAAAAACGATCAATAAAATAATGTTATTTAAAATATAATAGGAGAATCAAGCAGAAGAAACAAACAGTTGGGTATGATACAGAAAGAAAGTGAATATTCGTTCGACATATATTGGCCTACTCAATTGTTTATACAACTAGTATCACTTACTATAAAATATCTTTGTATTTCTTTTATAATCCGAAAACTAAAACTCATGAGAATATTTTCTGGATTCTCAAGAAAAATGGTGTCGTTCGCATTGGTGCACAGCGTTTTGATTTTCTTTCTAAAATTATATCGTTTCTGCGGATATCAGGTGAGTTTTATTTTGTTCTTTTTTTTCTCTGTTTCGGACCCTTTACAATTAATTAAATTTTATTAATAATCTTCATTTTATTTTAAAACACTACGGTGATCGTCAAGTTAGTAAGTTACTATATTAAGAATGATGCTCGATTTTCGAAATGAACTAATTTCCATTTAAATTTCATATTTAGTTTCAAATATTTGAATATCCGAAATTCGGGCGACCGATCGCTAGAACCAAAGTAAAAAAAAAAAAAAATATCCGAAATTTGTGTACTAAACTTTATTTATAATTTATAACAAAAAAAGTTTTAAAAAAGGTTGAGAAACAAAATAGAATTGTATAACATAAGAATAGCTTCATACTAAGAATGGGAACAGTATATACTTGTAAACTAGATCTACTGATTGTAAATTACAATTTAAAAGGAATACGAATTTTTTTTATCGTTTTACATTTTTTTTTCTTTATAAAAAGGAACTGAATTCTAATTACTCTGAATTTAAGAATTCAACTTATTTGATAACTAACATCCATCAAAAAAAAAAAAAAAACTCGACATACTAAACTTCTCAAAGAAATCATCATGATGAACCGAAAATTTGTTTTTGCGTTCCTCTTATTGGTCACGCTCTCCATGGTCAATGCATTTCCACATAACCTTCTTAAAAGAGCCATCAAATTTAATCAATGTGCCCCACCAGATGGTTCAATAATCCCACCAACCAAACTCAAAGTAACACTCTCACCCGAAGTTCCTGTCGCTGGACAAATGAATAAAGTTACGATTTCCGGAAAATTTACGGAAGATATCACCGAAAATACCGAACTTGTGGTTGCATTTATTGATTCAAATCGAGATCCCATAGATGAACCAACTAAATTGCCTGCTTGTACTGGAAGTGGATGTTCAATTAAAGTTGGTGAGCAGTATACACAAACTGTGGAAATTCAAACACCAGATAGTATACCTCATTCGACCGATATGTTTATTGTTATTGGTAATTCAAAGACTGATGTTATAGGCTGTGCAAATGCCGAACTTTAATTTAATCTATTTATTTCATTAACAACTCATTTTAATAAATAATAATTTCTAGAATATAAGTTATAGAAGTACATTTTTTAATTCTTTATATAGTATTAGTCACTGATTTATATAAATAAATTCAAAATATCTTTACAATTATTATTGCTTATGTTCGGTTATATAATTATATGGCTTGCAATCAATGTTGTTTATTATTAATGCAAAAAAAAATATTATTGATGATTTTATCAAAAAAAAAAATCCGCTGATAAAATACTATAATCCTTTTGTATTTACAAACTAAAGGAATTTTATTGTTAAATTTTATTGTAATTTTTATTAATAATAAATTTAAAATCAATATTTGCTTTTATTGTTTGATTAAACTATGTATTCGATTAAATAATCGATCATGTGAGTGATAGAACGATCAAATCATCTATTATGAATTTTTCATCATTTAAAAAACCTGTCAACATCACAAAGGAATTTAAATACCTTATTAGCTTATTTTGTAAAGTAGTTTATTTACCGTTTAGGCATTTGTCTGTTTTAAAGATCGGAAGCTATGTAATTTTTCTTCTTTTTTTTATGAAAGTTAGGAGAATATTGTAAAAAAGATGCATAAAATTTAATTCTTTGATCAGCTTTGATAAAAATATTTTTTTTTATGAATATTTCTATTTGTTAAGATATTTATATGTAATAGGTGCCATCCCGAAACTCACATTTTATAATCCTGAATGACAAGATCCCAAAATCAAAAATCTTGACTTAGTACTAAAAATTCTGACACCAAAATTTATTACGAAAATATTACTACTTAAAAAAAGTTATTGCAATTAATTATAAATATAACAGAAATTTTTGAGGTAGCCAGAAAATTAGAAGTTTCATGATAGGGTTAGGTTAAATATTTTTTTTTTTAAAATTTGATTTCTTGAATTTATTATTTTAGAAGAGTGTTACAATATTTTGCGAAAGTGATACAAAGTTTATTTAATATTTGCAAAATTAAATTTTGTACAATCATTTTCTTTTAGGATATTAAGTGCCAGAATATTTTAGATTTTCAATTTTGGAAATTTTTATCATTCTGAATTATGAGTTTTCGTATCAGGCTCATTGTAACAGAGACTTTTATTTCTGAAAAAATTATTAAAAATGCATTTATTCTTAATCAGAGAAAATCAATTATTTTATTGTATTTTATCAACTTTATTAAAAAAAGATTTGAGTGTTTATATCCTGTGATTCATTTATTTCTTTTAAAGCAATTTTTTATAGGTACAGGATTAGATAATTTTCTCAATTGCGTAAGTTTTCTCGCTTGAATAATGATGACATAATTTCCTTTGCTATTTATTCTCTTAGGTGTTTACTTATAAATTTATAGAAAAAAATAATATTTTTTAATTATTTTTACAATTTAAAAATTTTATTATATTTGAAAATTTCATCATATAATTTTTCGATGGTAGAAAAGTTTACTACATCGCTAATAAAGTTTATATTATATCATGATTACTATACTTTGCCATTTTGATTCGATCAGATACTGACGGAGGCACATGTCTAATCTTATTCAGTTCGTAACATTTTCTGAAGTATTAAAAAAAATTAAAAGGTAAATAACTTTGTCAGTTATAATCATTAGGGATGTTAAGCGGTCCTAAGCAATCCTAAAATTCCTAAGCAAATTACAGAAGAATGATTTCACAAATTTATTATTTAACTTGTCTATTATAATGTTTTAATGAGCTATTTATTGAAAATAAATAATAAACCCTCTTGGAATCCCAGAATATCTTAAAATTTAAAAATGTTAGGATTTAGGACCGGGTCCCTAGGACCGGTCCTACACATAGCGGTCCCATCAAATTGCCAAGTTTGAATATCATTTTCGCTTTTTACAAATTAAGTATGACATTATTTGATGGGAGTACTTATTATAGATAAGTGATTAGACTTCTCGAGATAGTAATCTCTTAAATCGTAAGGACCGCTTAACATCCCTAATAATCATTACTTTTTCTGACAAAATCTTAAATGATAAGAGTTTCCATTTGAAAACTGTATATTCGTCCGTTTATAGATAAATAATATGAAATTTTTAATATTCGAAAATCTATTTGAATTTCGAATGGTAATTCTTATTCTATGCATATAAATTTCTTCGCAGGTAAATAGTGTACTTTATGAGATCAAAATATCAAAATGAACTTTAAAAATAGAAGTTTTACTTTGTTTCTATTATCCAAATCTATAAATATTTTTTCTAAACTTTTAATTTAATTTTTTCATTTTCATTTTTTTTATAAATCGCATTTAGCACGCAATTCCTCCGAGCGTATCAAACAATTCACCCCCATCAATGTATCAGCTCATACATTTATAAAAAATTTTACATTTTTTATTTATATTTTAGAAAAGTAGATTTACAAACGATTGATTATATTTAGAATAGAACTATTTACTATATCTTAATAGAATTTATAGATCATTTTTTAGATCTATATATTTAGTACGGCAAAATCTGATGATAATTGTGTTTGCACAATTAATTTACTTGTGACGATGTGAATGACCAGTATCTTGGTTATAAGGTCTACAATAAATTTTCAACTTGGTCACGATATGGTTTTATTTAAAATTTTCTGCAAAGTAAGTTTCCGAGAAGGAGACTTAAGAACTCAAGAGAAAGAATTTAAATATAAGTGAGAAAAATAAAAAAAAAAGAATTGAAAAGTTTAATAAATATAATTATATTTTTCATGTTACATGAATTTATAGCGAATATAGAAATTTAATTAATTTATTTGGTACAACATTTCACATTGTCACGTAAAAATTTCAAGAATGATGTTTGACTAACAGTAATTAATACTCATATATATTATCGTGAAAATTACGAAAAGGTTTTAAGAATTAACTTTTAATTAAATTAATAATACATAAATCATTTGGTAATTCATGTAACCTAAATATATTACCATGAACGCAATTATGAAACTCTGTAAAAATAAATGTAGTGAAAAAAAATGAATTCAATTTCAGTTTCAGTTCTGATCTTTTCTGCAGTGAAAAAATATTTTATTGTATAAATTTTAAAAAATAAAATTATGTATTAGTTGTATGATTAATTATGCTATGAATTTATTTTGCTAAAATTATAATAATAGATAAGAATGAGAACGATAATATGAATATCAAACAATTTCTATTCAAAGGTGAATTAGGAAGAGCACACATAAATCTTTATAAGCTTTACATGAAAGAAATCATTAAAAAGAGACGAACTGCTGTAACTTGTTTAAATGACTAATGTTAGATATAAATGAATTAGATTACATTTCTCTTTCATTTCAATATTTATCAAATCAAAATCAAAAATCAATATAATTATACAGAATCAAATTCAATATCTATCTGCAGCCCAGAATATCAGTATCTGAATTTGCAACACTAAACTACCATTCTGGTCGGAATAATATAAGGATAATCAGATTGTTTTCAAGTTCAACTTCCACCGTTTGATTAAAGTTTTCACCAGCTTTAACTGAACATTCACTTCCACGCAAGCAGCTAATATAGCAGGGGGAAAGTCGAGTTGTTGAGTTGCTTCAAATGAATGCAACCACAATAAAGGTTTTTTTGGTAACATCTTCCGTAAATTTTCCGGAAACAGTAATATTAAGAGTAGAAATTATTTTTACTTCTTGGGGTTGTGGATTAATTAAAACATCGAATAAGACTGGTGGTGTCTTTGAACTTTGTGATGCGTTACATTGTAAAAACTCTTGGGTAATTTATGACTTTTATGTGGAATTGCATTGACCATGGAAAGCGTGACCAATAAGAGGAATGCAAATATAAATTTTCGGTTCATAATTATGATTTCTTTGAGAAGTTGTGTTTGTTGAGTTTTATTTTTTTTTTGGTGAATGTTAGTAAATAAGCTTGGATTCTTAAATTCTGAGTAAAAATCATTGCCCTTTTATAAAGAAAAAAAGTAAGAAAAAATCGTATTCTCATCAGTACTTTTTCATCATGATTGGTACCAAATTTTGATAATATGCCATTTTGTTTCTCTTTGAAATGATTTCACGGCAAGAAAGTTTTAACATGAAATTTTGATGAATTAAAAAATCTTCCATAGTAAATTTAAAAGTAAGAGAATTTTTATTGTTAACGATCATTTCGAAAATTTGAAAATTATTTAAGGTCTGAGACAATGAAGTTGGTGTCCGAAATTGGAATTCCAATTTCAGTCAAAAATTTTTAAAATTACTTAAGAAGAATCGAAGTAGAACCGATGAGGAACCGAGCTGGAACCGATAAAACCGTCCTCATCCCTAGATATGGACCATTGGATCCAAATCATGCTGTGATTCACGTGAAATGCTTCTTCTGCTTAGAAAGTCAAAAAAAAAGCTTGTATACTTTTGGAAATATTGTCTAGAAATGCACGATTGAGTTTTATCTAAAGTAAAATTTTAAAACGATTTCGATAATTAAGTTAAGCTCGCATTTGAAAACAAAATCAAATTATTATTGTTTAATCTTTATAAAATAAAAAGTAAAATTTCATTATTTAATGCGGTAGAAAGTTTTACTAATTTAGACAGTTATGCATTTAACTTGAAAAAATTTTTGGTATTTAATAATTCAAGTTCACGTAGGATAAAAAAAAATCTAAAATTTCTATCGGACTTAGATGATTCTATACATTTTCTCCTAGCAATAGTTAATGACATTAACAACAAATTCGATCAGAAACAATCTGAGAATTAATTAATATACATAATTACATCACATAATATAAACCTTTTTTATAATCCGCCTAAATTAAATTAAATTAAAAGAAATTAATAACTAAAAAAAAAACCTTTTATTACCTTATTATAAATTTTAGAAATTGACAACCATATGTTTTAAGCTACAAAGTTTATTAATATGGTTAGTTCTTTTATCGTAATTGTATGTGCATATATAGTTTTTGTTCTCGTCCTTTATTTAATAAATTTTACCCTCGTATATTTAATAATAAATTAATATTTGAGCTTAACCATACGGAATAATCATTACAAGCTCATTTACATACGATTAGTCATAACCATTTTATAAATTTGGAACATTATTATAAAAAGCCCATACTTTTATGCATTTGGAAAAGTTATACGGTCATTAAACAAAAATCTATTTTTATTCTAAATATTTAGTAACTTGATATACGAAACAGACAAAATAAGTAAATACAAAGATGTTTATTGTTCAAGATTAAAACTTCATATTTCAATATTTTGAATATCTTAATTCTAGTTTCTGAACATTTAGGGATGGATCGGTCACTGGTAAGGATCGGTTAATGGGACCGGTCCTTACGTTCCTCGGTCCATATTCTGACTGGTCCTTTATTATTTAAATAATTTTTTTTTATTATAAAATAATACAAAGTTAGGTTGTATCGATCTGGTCCGTTTTCACCTGTCTTATGCAGTATTGGATATAATTTCACATGAACGTATATAAGTTTATATATCCAATTCAAAACCTGGTCTTATGGACCGGTCCATAGTCATTTCTTGGACCTGTCCAAAGACTAGTCATGACCTAAATTTATTCTATTTTCGTTGTGTACCGATTCATAAATCCGGTGTTTCAACCGGTTTTTATAACTTATAGCATATATTATTAACTTTTATTTTAAAGAAACGATAAGGAAAATGTCGGAAATGTCGGAAATGGAAAATAACAAGATTAAGAAGACGCAGCAGTAATCGTTACTTTTATATATTTATTATTTTAAATTTATACATCTTTAATATTTCAATAAAAATTCATTATTAATAATGCATATATCAAGGATGTGGCGAATAATTTGTTCTAAACCGGTCCTTGGACCATCATTACAAATAATTCTGGACCGAGAAGGAGATAAATTTTGGACCGTTCCGGTCCAAAGAAGATGAAAGACGGCCAAAACCTATTAACATTACACTAAATTTAAAAGTATAATGAAATAGAACTTAAACTTTAGTAGCCTTAAATAATTCGTACATTATCCGAGAAACAAAAAGTTATTTACTCATAGGTCAAAGATTAATATTAATATTGATACAGAATTTTAAAATTAAAAAAATTAAAATTTTTTACTGCTGAAAATGATTTATACAAAAACGTAATCTACCTTAGTAGTAGGCATTATTTTTTTATAAAAAAAACTTTATTTAAAGATTAAACTGCTTTTGCTAAAATAGTTTCTCAATACATTGCTTCACCGCATTTAAATGAAGAAACTTAAAACAAAATAAATAAATAAATAAATAATATTCTAATCTTAATAATTTATTACTATAATTTAAACAATTGAATTTAAATTAATAAGCATGTAACGGTAATTTATAAGATCAAAGTTTAAATGAACTTACCACTTAAATCCGCATAAGTATCAAGGTGAATATCGCCAACAGAATCAGAATTTCTATTATCTAAAACTTCTTCTTCTTTTAAATTATTTGTGTTTACATCTATGTTTTTGGCTGTTTCAACGTCAACCTCCTTTCCACAGCCCATCTTCAAAAACTTTTCCAATACTTCTTTAATAATTGGTCTTTGATCAGGCTCTTGTTTCCAACATTTTTTATAAAGTTTTTCGTAGTCCTCAGGTGTATCTGGTATAGTAGTTTCACGTGTTTCTTGTAAAGTAATAGCAATAATAAGGTCTTGATTTTTATCAAATTTACCTTCAAATGGAGGATGTCCGCTAGAAATTTCCCACATCAATACACCAAAACTATAAATGTCTGAAGGTTTAATATATTGAAAATTTTGATCAGTAAGTATTTGTGGTTCCATATACGCGGCTTTACCAAAAAGTCCAATATGCATAGTGGAATTATTTTCAACTTTTGAAATACCAAAATCTGTAATTTTGGCATTATCTTCATGAATAACTATATTCTTAGAATGCTAAATTAAAGTGAATAATTAATAATTTTACATAAAATTTACAAGTAATTAATATAATATTTACAAGATCTCGATGTAAAACATTCTCATTATGCAAATAATTTAACCCATCTGCAATTTGAAATGCTAACTTTTTTTTATATTCCCAAGTTAATTTTTCAAAATTATTCTCAAGGTAACTTTGAAGATTACCACCATTTGCATATTCCATTACAGAATAAAGTTCATTTGAGTATGGATCTTTAAACAATTTTTTTAAATTAGTAATTAAAAATTACTTAAAGTAAAATAATTAAACTCATTACATTACCTTGACTAATACCTAAGAAACGAATAATTCGATTACTATGATTAAGATGCAAATGAATTTTTAACTCATAAATAAATGCACTTAATATTTCATCATCGCGCTTAAACATTTGCGTTTTTAATTTTTTACAGACAATATAATTATTTGTTTTTGACCAAGTTGCTTTTATGATACTACCAAAGGCGCCTTCATCAAGTGGTTTTAATTCAATTAACTCATTAAAATGTATGATTTTTACTTTATTATTTAATTTGTTATTAATCAATTCAATCATATTAATATTCACTAATTTTCATTAAAATTAGATAAATTAATATAAAATACAAACTTAAAAATTCAATTACTATTAATATGATAAAAATATACATACTTTTAATCGGTTTATTTATGAAACTCATTCTTGAGAATTCTTCTAATATTTCTGTAATAGTTGGTCTTTGCTCGGGTTCTTGATCCCAACATTTTTTATAAAGGTTTTCATAATCTATAGGAGTATCCGGTATAGTATTTTCACGAGCTTTGTTGTTAATAATAATAGCACAAATTGTTGCACTATTTTTGTCTTTAAATGGAGGAAATCCACTAGAAATTTCCCACATCAATACACCATAACTATAAATATCGGAAGGCTTAATGTATTGAAAATTGTGATTTGCAAGTATTTGTGGTTCTATATAAGCAGTTTTACCACAAGGTCCGATGTGTGTAGTAGAATTATTTCCAAATTTTGAAATACCAAAATCTGTAATCTTTGCATTATTATTATGAATAAGGATATTCTTAGAATGCTAAATAAAATTATATGATATAAATTAAAATTCAGAAATTTATTTTAATAAAATAGATAAATAAATATAACAAAAATAATACTTACAAGATCTCTATGTAAAACATCTTCATTATGTAAATAATTTAATCCATTTGCAATTTGAAATGCTAATTTTTTTTTATCATTCCAAGTTAAATTATTAAAATTATTTTTAAGATAATTTTGTAAATCGCTACCATTAGCATATTGCATTACAAGAAGGTACTCATTTGTTTTTGGATCTGTAATTAATAAATTAATAAATAATTATAATTTAAAATATTAATATTTAGTAATTATAATTACCTTGACTAATACCTAAACAATGTATAATTTGATTACAATAATTAAGATATAAATGAATTTTTAATTCATAAATAAAAGCATCTTGTCTGAGAGTATTTGTATTTATCAACCTTTTAAATACAATACAATTACCAGTTTTCAACCAAGTTGCTTTTATAATGCTTCCAAAACCTCCTTTATCTAGTTGTTCTAAATCAGTAAATTCATTAAAAGATATAAATTTAACTTGATTTTTTAAGGATTTATTAATAAATTCAATTGCATTTATATTTTGATTAATATTTTGACCATTAGCTTCATATTTTCCAAAACTCCTTTCTGATTTATTTTCATTATTTACTAATCTTTGATGCCATTCATATGCTTTTTCTAAATCTTTATTAATTCCAATACCATTTTCATAACATTTGATTAAATTATATTGAGCAATTTTATTTTCATTTACTGCTGATTTTTGATACCAATAAAATGCTTTTTTAAAATCTTCTTTAATTCCTATACCTTTTTCATAAAAATACCCTAATTTAAATTGTGCAAGTTCATTATTATTTTCTGCAGATTTTTGATACCAATAAAATGCTTTTTTTAAATCTTTTTTAATAAATATGCCTTCTTCATAATTAAATCCTAAGTTATATTGTGCAAATTCATTTTCATTTTCTGCCGATTTTTTAAACCATTTAAATGCTTCGATCATACTTTTTTCAATACCTAAACCATATTGATAACAAATGGCTAAATTGCATTGGGCGAAATGATTATCATTTTTTGCTGATTTTTGATACCAAGTAAATGCTTTTTCTAAATTTTTTTTTACATTTATACCTTTTTCGTAAAAATATCCCAAATCATTTTGTGCATTACTATACTTTTGTTCGGCTGATTTTTTGTACCATTCAAATGCTTTACTAATATCTTTTTTGATACCTTTTCCATAATAATAATAATTACCTAAATTATATTGTGCAATTTTATTTTCATTATTTGCTGATACTTGATACCAATGGAATGCTTTATCTAAATCTTTTTCGATTCCTATACCATTTTCATAAAAAAATCCCAACTTGTTCTGCGCGTCACTAAATTCTTGCATGGCGGATTTTTCATATAATTCAAATGCTTTAACTTCATCCTTTTTAATTCTCCATCCATTTTGATAACATTCAGCTAAATAATATTGAGCGACCTTATTTTCATTTTTTACAGATTCTTGGTACCAATTAAATGCGATTTTTAAATCTTTTTTAATTCCCCATCCATTTTGATAACATTCGGCTAATTTATATTGTGCGTCACTATTCGCTTGATCTGCTGATTTTTGATACCATAAAAATGCTTGTTCTAAATTCTTTTCGATTCCCCATCCATTTTGATAGCATTTAGCTAAATCATGTTGTGCATTACTATTATTTTGATCCGCTGATTTTTGGTACCAATAAAATGCTTGTTTTAAATCCTTTTCAACTCCCGATCCATTTTGATAACATTTGGCTAAATCATATTGCGCATTTTGATTATTCTGATTTGCCAATTTTTGATACAAACCGAATGCCTTTTCTAAATCCTGTTCTTGATTCTTTGCTATTGATTAAATATTAATAAATAAAATTTAGTATAATTTAAATTAATATTTATATATATAAAAAAAAAGTATAAATGAAGAACAATAAAAACAACTTACGATCTTTAGTATCAATGATTTTAAATAAAAATTTTTTTTTTTTTTTTGATAACAAATTTAATTTCAATGATTGTAAAAATATAGTTGAAAAATCAATAAATTACTTACGTTCTATAATTTAAAATAGTTAGTAAAACAATAAATTACTAGCTATGATATTTATAATAAAATATAATAATAACTTGCTATAACATTGATATCATGCTTACCTTCTAGCATTATTAACAAATTAAGATGAAATAAAACAGAACAAATTATTTAATAAAAAAAATTTTGTTAATTTATTTATTTATACTTTCCAGAGAACGTGACTAATAATTAATATAAATGGAAAAAATGATTTTCCTATTGTTGATAATTGTCATGCATGCACCTTAGCCCAAAGTCCGGAATAGTTCAATTAAATTTAACGTTAGTAACTTCCGCTGGTACAAAAAAATTTCTAATTAGCCTTTTAAGATAATTTCAGTTAGAGAACCGTGTTTTGAAAAAAAAAATAGTATTTATTTTATGATAAGAGCGTCCTTAATCTGGACCCGGGTTTAGGGTTTTCTTAAATATTATTGGTTAAAAAATGATTCATATATTCGTGTAACATTTATCTTGGAAAATATTTTGCGGCTTTAAATATTAAAAGAATAGAAAATTATTATCGATGTATTATTTGCACACTGAAAATATTAAATTATCGGCATTTTATATATTTATTTCTTTTATTAGATGAAAGTTATATAATTTATGTCAATTACATATATGAGTTTTTTATCATAAAAATAAAACAAAGAATTTCAGTATCATAAGGGGAGGGCCAGAAATGATGTCATTTTAATTTTCGGGATTTTTCCCCCCCTCCCCCCCTTGTCATCAATTCCATTTAAGGAAATCGATATCACGTGATAGTTTTATAAAATATACTAAATAATGTTTTTTTTTAAATTTTTTATTGAATTATAATATTATATTATACATTGAAATTAAATTTGAAACATAAGATAATCCTGATCCCAAGGATTTTTTGCTTTATCTTTACCTTTTTGTTGTTTATGCATTTGCATGATTGCAGTTTTATTATCTATATGGTTAATAAATTGGTCTACACATTTGGATCCTTCTGTATGATCTGCCGATTTATTTCTTGCATTATCATTTTCAACTGAAATCATAGATTGTCTATCATTATAAATTTTTCGCTTTAATCCTCTTTTATTTGAATGCATATTTTTAACATGCAACTTTATAAATGTTTTTGTTAGAAAATATTTTCCACATTTTTGGCATATAAGTTCATGATATAATTCAGATGAAATACTTGGACAATACTCATCAGCCGATTACTAAAAAATTCCAATGTTTATATTAGATTAAGAAAGTGTTTATCTTGTCTTTGTATAATAGGAGGAAAAAAACTATTATTTAGTGATAACAATTCAAAAGTATCGGTAGCTCGTGGTGGTTCACAACAGTTCTGATCATTACATTTTCACAAATCAAAAGAATATTTGCAAATCTGTGAATGACGATCGATCCAATCCCACGTTCCTTTTTCTATATCTGAAAATATAGTATAATCATGTTTTTCAACGTATGTAGCAACAACTGGTCTCTTATTAATAAAATCATGATTCCAAAGCTCACAGAGTTGCTCTCTAACATGTTTAAAGTTTTTATATCCAAGTTCTTCATCAATTACAGAAGTTTGTCCATTTATACTACCAAGATGATTCCCATAGTGAAAAGCATTCAACATAGTTTACAGGATAATGATGACATGCTTTATTCTACTGGATTATATGTCAATTGTCCAGGTGCGTGTGTTCATACTGTAAGATAATCTAAAACAAGCTTTTTAAAAATAAGTATATATTTCAAAATATTGGCAAGAAATCGAGAGTTTTTATTAGACTCACTATCTATTAATAGACACTAAATAGGTTTTACTGAAACTTCATAATGTGTTTATTCACGATAAGCCTCCTCTTCTGCAATTATCATAAGATCGATCATATGCTTTTCATATGAAGTACCTAAAAAATATTCAAGGCAAATGAAAATTCACAACTTGCCAGATCGTAAAGAATCATTTGTGCTGCTAGGATCAATTAACAAATAGACAGATGGTATTAATTTATACTTAGAGCCTACTGAAAAGTCATGGTCAGGTATTGATACAGGTTCATTTGATGTTTGTATTGTTTTAAAAGTTTTACCAATAGCAGTAATACCTAATGGAACCTAATTAACAATTTTAAATATATAACAATAAAAATATTTTAATTTTTTATAATTTTATTACACTATACAAAACATTGTCTACTTTTACTTTTACATTATCCGCTTTCACTTTTTTTTTAATTTAATTTTACAAAAAAATTAATATATCATTTAAATAACTAAAGTAATTTAATATTCTAATTCAATTATTATATCATTAATTTTTAGAATCAAATTCTATCTATACAAATAGTAAAAATTACCTTAACCTTGTCATCTTATGAAATTAGAACAACATCTTGTAAAAAAGTAGATGCAAATAATTTCACGCTTTTGACTGAAGCTAAGCAATAGTGTTCATCAACATGGTCATGCATTTCATTTTTTTCAACAGCTGCTAAACATATTTATGCAGGATGATAGTGTCGATGTATTTCCTTTGATGCTGGGTGCTGAGGTTGCATATAATTTTAAACTGTAGATTTCACCATATATACATTGTAATTTTCCTCCATTTTTTCTCAGAGATGCTTGATAGTTCGTATCTTAATTACTTTCTTATGTCATTTGTGATCTGTTGCACTAAATTCAATGCTACTATACATCTTTTTCAAAAGATTAGAATCGTTCATTAAATATAACGGACAATCTGATGTATTATAAACTTCTACAATATTCTCTTTTTCTAGCTTTCTTTTTTCTTTTCTCAAGATCATTTTTGAGCTGCCACATTACTTTTAAACATTTAAGCCTTTTCTCCTCAATAACTATAGTCTCCTCTAGTATCTTAATTTTTGAAAAAAATTGTGAATGGGTTTCTGATGATGATGCTACTTGTAATAACTTAGTGTATTCATATACTTCAGTTTTTGCTTTTTGGATGATATCAAATGACTGTTTTTGCGTTGGTGCATTAAGTGAAGATTGAATATTATTAGGAAGATTAGGAAGAATATCTGGAATTACTGATGAAGGTTTAGTTGTGAAATTCTGCTGTGAAGATAAAATGAAAGTGAAGGGAGAAGGTTGAATAGGTGTTTTTAATAGGTTGGAAATAAGATTAGAAATAAAATCTCTATCCTTTTTTTTTAACTTCTCGCCAACTACTTTGTATCTAAAGTTAAAGTTCTTTTTTATTTGATGCAATATTGTGACTTTCTATCATTTTAGAATATGCATAAGCATTCACATATTACTCATAAATATTTTGAGAGTTTGAAACGAGGTAATTTTTGGAATATTTTTGTTCGCAGAAATAAGTTTATTTCATTGTTAATAATTTCACAACACAGCAAAATTATTTTTATATTTTTTAAAATGCAAAGGTAAAAAAGAAATCATGAGAATTTCTAGGGAACTTTTTTTTTTAAAAAAAAAAATATGTATCACTGCATTGTCATTGTAACACTGCAAATGTAACATTTCATTTTTTTGTAACGCAGTACATGCAATACGTGTAGCGCACACAATGCAGATTTTTATAATTCCTTAATTTCTTAATGCTAGCCCGTTTCATTCATTATCTAAAAAAGGATTTGTATAACCATCATCAACTGACACTCTCCTCTCCTATTAAATGACGTAATTTTTGACCCTTTTCTAACTCCACAATTATTTAAACTAAAAATTAATATACATGAATTTCAATACTCGCTAAACAACTTAATTAAGCAATTTTGTTTGATCAGAGTTTCCAAATTATGCCTTATACTTAAAAAAAACAAATATTATTAAAAAAAACAACAATAACTTTATTACTATTAAGTTAGATTACTATGAAAGTATTTTTGTTTAGGAATGGTAACGGTCGGTCGTGGTCAGTTAATAGGTTAATGGTCAATATGCGAGATACTTGGCAAATTTGATGCCAGATATTTGTTGGGTTGTCGGGTTATTGGGTATCAATAACATGTAATATATTTTATTAGTGTAATACAAATTTTATATATATATAATAATATATTAGATTTTTTTGTATGACTATTAAAATTTTCATTATAATACTATTACAAAAAATGTAATTTCATTTAAACACATGTTCTATTTGTCTTATTTACTTAGATTGTCAAAATAATTATGTCAAAATTGCACTTGTTAAGCAAGAGAAATAAAATGGAAGAAAAAGAAAAATGAACGAGACTATAAAGTAGACTTTTGTTATAAACTAAAGGGACTACAAAACAAAAAATTGTGTTAAACTCAGAATTTATTAGTTGGTTTTCTGCTAATATTTCTTCATGCATTAAAATTTCGTTATCTCAAAATGATGTAAATATTTGCCAAAATTGTATAAGTGGATATCGTAGCAAAAATAAAGATATATAATATTATTTGTACTTTATTATATACATTTAAAATTCAAATTATTTATTCAAATATTATAAAAGCCATAAAAACCAAGCAAGTTATTCAAAAGTGACCACAAAAATGATTCCTATAAAGGAACATTATATTGATTTAACATTTAATGTACTACCTACTCCATCTGATTCACAAAAACTAAGTGAACAAAGCCACATACTACCTGTATTAATTCCAAAAAAAACTGAATTAATAAGTAAAATTTTTTAATTAATTCTGTATTTATTTTTGATAATTTAAATGATTTTACAAATTAAAATTTTTTTTGATCTAGAGTATATTACACTAGTTTGTTTTGATAAATTTAAGTAGCCACATAAAAAACTTGATAGAGCAATAGATATTCCTTATGATTTGAATAATTTAAATACATTTGATCAAATCAAAAAGAAAATCTTATCTCGTAACCTTTCAACAAAATAGGAAAAAATAGAAATTGGTTTTATATATTATCAGAAAACTTCTAATGCTAAAGCAGATCACTTTGACCTAAAATCAATTGGTATCATTATGGCATTTATTAAAGAGTGCAAAAAAAATACAATTATGTATATATTTTGCAAAATAAGAGAAAGTAAGCAAATAGTTTATGGAAGCTCTGTAATAGATAAATAATACTGAAATATCTACACTAAAAAGAATTAGGT